TATTGATTATATTACCTCCTAAGATTAATTTTAATAGAATTATCTAAAAAGAGTGAATCCATAGTTAGTAAATTTATTTCCAAAATATGTTTTAATGTAACTTGAATGTAAATTGTTAAAAATGTTTAACGGGGACTTGAATTAAATCATGAATAACAAAATTTTAATTGTAAAAAGAAATTAAATTAAAAGCAAGTAATTAAATTAAGAGCAAGTAATCATTGCTATTGATCGGAAATTAGTTGACTTTTCAAGGGGAACAAACCAACTCCTGTTCAATGTACAATAATTAAGAAATAAATACGAAGGTGTTTCGTCCTTTACTCAAGTAATAAGGCGATGCCAAACTGGCAATTTAAGTTAGGCCAAATATTTCTGTGAATTGAAGGGATCAAAAACACCAATGCAGAGCACCAAAGAACTCATTAAGCATTTTCACTAATTCAATTTTGAGTGAAAAGCAATTTATGCAGTAAAATTGATAAATTAGTAATTTAAATTAGTCCCCTCTCTGTTTTGTCAAGTTTCTTCGCTAGGCATCTCTCCGCCATCACCAAGTTCCAAATCAGTCATATCATATGTCATATATGTAAGAAAAATAAAGACTATGTAAAAGATTAAATTAGCAGCGTAAATTAATTTTCCTTCTCTATTTTAAAAATAGTAACCACTATTTGCACTGTGCCATTTCGAGACTAATCCATGTCATATGACTCTTACATAATTCTGATGACTTAAATGGAACTAAAACTGAAACAGCCAATAGTAATTTTAAAGCAATATTAACCATTCAAATAAAAATGCATTGAGAACCAAAACTAACTCAGTTTGAATTAAGATTTCACTCTGCACATAACGCACTTGCTTTCTATGCTTTTGCGTAGCTTGACCTCAGTCTGTCTGCTTCTTCTTTCTTACTGCAAATTTACATAAAATGTAAACTTTTTGCAGTCGGCACATTTAATGTGCCAACTTGTTTGTGACCGCAACATGTTTGCTGAAATAAAAAATGAAGATTTAATCTGCCTTTGCTTCTAACTTCCTATTCATTATGGATGAACATTTCTATGCCATCAAAATTCCTGCTGGTCAATAACTTTAGTTTGATTTTATCACATACACACACACACATATATCTATTAAAAGGAGGACTTATAGAAAGCTGCAACATATTGGTGATAGTTCTTTGCGTTGTAATAACTTTGAGAGGCTTTACTGTGCTATTGGAACAAGGACACTCGAAGACAGACATAGCTGTAAATTCTACACATAATTTTATTTCTTGATAATTTAATTCTTTGGACACATATTCTTTTCTATTGCACATCATCATTGTGGATGCTCTGTGCACCCCACAATTATAATATAAAGATGATATTTTTAGAACAATGGACAATAGCGAGCAAAGGCTAAGTGATAAGTTGGTTAATTAAGTAGTTCCTTACTAGTGGCAAGAGAGCTAGATGAAAAGTTTGCCCAGTTATCCAGTATGTCAGCCTGTTAAGAGAAGGCTTCGGTTTGAGTTATGTCATTAGCATTATGCGGTACAGAAAAAGGCATTATTTGTAGAATGGGGAGGGAATTGTGAGGGTATTGGCAAAATTATAATTTTAATAATTAAAATTATAAATTTGATTTACATATTTTTATATTACACACACATATATATACAGAGAGTTTCAGCAATTTGGTTACAAATTTTCAGGGGAGTTAAGAGTGCACCTGGACTGTTAATGAAAATCTCGCAGCAATGCATGGTCAGAAACGCTTTCATAGAGTTGTTAGAGATGATACAAAGGAAAAGAAACAAAGGACATGAACAGGGTGAGAAAACATATTTATTATGCTTAGTACAGCAGAAAACAAGAAATGAAAACGGAAACCAATAACAATTGTCATCAAAGAAGGAATTGAATTTTATAACATGTAAATTATGACCCCGTACTGTGATGTAAGCCTTAGATGTGATGTGCATGGATGACCTGATGTTCTGTAAATAACTTAGCTTGTTCCAGACTTCTCCCAGCAGCTGCCATGATGCATTTCCTGAGCACTGTTAACGGGGCCTGAGCACTGTTAACGGTTGTATACCTTTGTCTTGACGTACCCCCAGCATAGTCAATGCGAGTGAGGTGTAGTATCTTGCTGGCTAATGATTGAACCATACCTGCCAATCCAGTGTTAAGGATACATTGCATTCAGGTGAAGACACACATCTAGGCTGTTAATGTATGCGAAAATTTAACATTCCCAACATTTTAGCTGCACTTAACATAATAAATATGTTTTCTCACCGTGTTCATGTCCATCCTTTCTTATGTTTTGCGTCATCACTACTGCACCAGGAAAGCATTTCCGACCATGCACTGCTATGTGATTTTCCATCGTCTAGGTGTACTGTATTTTTCCTGAGAGTTTGTAACTGAATTGCTGAAACACCCTGTGTGTGTGTATATATATATATATATATATATATATGAACCCTCCCTCCACACCAGGTAATGCTGCGGTGAGCTCTGTTTATTTATTTATTTTATTATTTCATATATATTGGAAAATTGTGCATTATTATTATTATTATTTTTGCTTTAAAAATGATTGAATTATGTTGTTATGTTTTGTTCAAAGTTTTTATGCCTTTAGTTGATCTGCATGCAGTGGTTATAGAATTATCAGCAATTTAAAAATGTAATTTGCATTAGGCCTAATGAGAAAAATTAACCTGTTAATTTTTATTCATAAAACATGATAAGTTAATGTTTATTTAAATGGTAATTTTCTTATCACAATTGCAGTTTTTATCAAGCATGAGCTGTCCTGTTGCGCTTATTTGTATTGTTTTCATACAAGTGCCTTGTTGTGAAGCAGATTATTGATGTTTTGAAAGAATTGCATAAATGTATGAAATGTGGAAAGATGTGAAAGGATAAAGAAAAGTTGCTAAATGTATTTTTCACGTGACTGCCTTGCTATTTGCTCAAAAAGAAAAGCTTACTATACAAAATACTACAATCAAAAGTCGTTAATTCGGACACCCATAATTCAGAATGATCTATAATCCGGACCTCAAAACTAAAAACTTTCTGCGCATGCGCCGCGTTGACACATGCGCATAGGCGTTTACGCGTGCGCGTAAGACCTTTTACGACTGCACATATGAGTGTGCGCAAGTGCAGAATACGTTTCCGCGTGCGCGTTTTATGTATAATGGACATATAAGCTAAAATTATCTAATTATCTATTTCACTTAATGTTGATGATTGCGTTGTTCCTTAATTTTCGAATTGCATCCGGCTTATTATTTTTTGCAGACTGTAAGAGCAATTTTATAAAAGTAAGCTTAAACTTTGGATTATATCAAATAGAATTTCCGATATATATTTGTTAATATGTAAAGGATCTGAAGCGAAAGTATGTTTTGAAATCCGAAATCTGTTTATCAATTTCACGCTGCTCGGCGGGGGGAACGCTGCGGCGGGCGCGTAATGAATTGGAAGTTGATCTGTCAGCACTATCCTTGTCTTCAGCGCAGATGTTTTTATTTTATTTGGCTTATAATTCCTTACCAAATGTAGTATTTTATCTCGATATGCTCCGTCTTTGATATGATTTAAAACAAGTTCCTCGTCATTATAATTCGCTTCCGAAGCGAAGAAAGTGACAGAGGTTATTGAAAACAAAAAAATTTCGATTGACAAATTAGTCGGTGTTCTCGACACAGCAATTATAGGACTTGAACAGCGGAACTTTGTAACTGAACAAAAAATTATATCTGTTTAATAGAATTAAAGAGAAAGTATTATCACATGAAACGAAGCAAAACTTAAAAAACAACTTACATTGAAAGAAATGTTTAATAAAGTAAACAAATAAATATTAAGCTTTTTCTTTTTGCAAAATTTGATACCCTTTAGATCATAATTGTTCTTTATTTCATAAATTATGGTTTCATATTTTTAATTTTAGAATTTCTGCATGCCATCTTACGAGATTTAAACTGATGATCTATAATCCGGAAAAATCGATAATCCGGAATCGCCGAAGTCCCGACGAGTCCGGATTAACGACTTTTGACTGTATTGCAAAGACCATCATGTCTTTCAGTTTCAAATCACTTCTATCAAACTTAGTTAAAAAAACCTTGGGAAGGATATATTGGAACTCAGAAGAAAATGCTTGTTATATAAAAGCATTAAGAAGAAAAGTTTAATATTTATGTAGCATAAGAGTATATTTTTGTGAATGCAACAAAAAATAGTCACATTAACTAAATAAAAGGCAAAATCTTTTTATTACGAGCATGCTATATATTTCTTTCAATTCATTGTGGTTTCACTATTTTAAAATGTTTAACTGATTCAGGAAATCTAGTTACTACTGTTGAGTATTCTTGAATGATAACATTTGGCTCCTGCTGGTATGTAGTTTAGTCCAGCCCTGCTGTAGATAATGAGAGCAAATCTAGACTAAAATTTCAGTGAATCATTAAATTTTTATCTTCATCTTTTTTCTTAATAAGCACTGTACAGATGCTTTTATTAATTCTTTATTTATTCTACAACAGAAATAATATCCACTGCAGATCATAAAAATTTCCCTTTCTGTAAAATTCACAAGCTTGTTACTACTGGATCCAGAAAGGATCTAAGTCTTCTCTCTTCATATTCTAACTCTAATAATTTAAATGAACCGATAAAGTTGAATTCCTTTGTCGTGTTTCACTAGATATACAATTTAAATATGAAAGCAGGACAACTAGTGTTTTATGATAAAGATTTTGAGTTTTCCATCCTTCTTTAAACTTTTGAAACTTTGTATTCTTTCTGGCTTCTATGATTTCTTTTAGAGAACTTATGAAGATAAGCATTATGTAAAATCTATTGCATGTGTTAACAGAAAAGTTAGAAGTTGCATATTGTGTACCTTGTAATTAGTGTAATTATCCTTTATACAGTATAATATTCTTGTTTTATATATATATAATCCTTTCTGTTCCCTAGTGCTAACTGTCTTTCTCAGGATGCAAATAGAAAGCGCTTACTTGCAAAGGATGTATTTGAAGCTTTAAATGATCTAGAACTAGATTTCTTGATACCTCCTCTGCACAACTCATTAGCTGGTATGTAAAACTGTAGGAAATGATACTGTACTTTTTTTAAACCATTTGAAAATAGCTGAAAAATGAGACACGATAAACACAGCTTGCAGTTTTGTGATGGAAGTTCTAAGAGTTTAAACAGTTCTGAAGTTAGTTATTTTTCTAGAAATAAAAAGGCAGTCAGTCCTCACATACTTTGTTGCAATAAATAACTTATACCTTCGATTGAGTAGTATTTAAAAAAATGTGTTAGGTGATTTGGTAAATAATGCATCTCTCATTACATAAATGTATAATACTGTTGATAAATAATAGTAAAGCCTTGCTAAAGATTATTTTTACAGATGATCTCTATACTTGTCACTTGTCTAAACAGACAAGTTGTGATACTACTTGTCAAGTGTATGTGTATCTGATTAGTAAGATGCTACTTATCAGATAACACTTAGATAACTATGTCAGATAGAATTTAGTATCAAGTGTTTGAATGATCTATTGATAGCGTACTAAACTCCCTAACCAACTGAGAATTGCCTGCCATCAGTTTTCTCGTTAGTATTCCTGCAGTGAAAACTGTTTTTTTGCATCAAGGTTGTACATAGGATGGTACAATATGTCCCTCTGGATAAGTTACCTATAATGACGCCATATAAACCTGTAATGACAGTGGAACAGGTCATGCATGCTGTTGGGCAAATGTCACCTGATACAGTCCTTTAACCCTTTGACGGGTAGTGGGACGCCAGAATTCCCACCTTTTTTAATCTCCCAGATGAAAGTTGCAAAATTACATTTAAAATATATACAATACACCTTTTAGTTCTCTAAATGTATAACAGATGGCAGCACTGGTATTCATTCATGGAAATGATGTAAAATAAAAATTCTTTGCAGGTCTAATTTTGAAGCAGTTTTTTTTTTATTTATTTCTAATGCAATTTAAATCGTCTAAACAACAACTTTTGGTGTTAGAATGAATATTTTTATGTGAAAATTTCCTTTTCTAATAAAAATTATTATTTGAATTCATATATATTAAGTAAGAATGGTTGAAGTTAAAAGGTGGGACCAAATATGTCCCACTGCGCGTGTAGGAATTGCTGCTACTAGATAGCAGCACCATTCAAATATTTTAAAATTCGAGTATCATGTTCATTTTATATGTTGATAATGCAAATTTGTATTTTTTAATGAATTGCAATAATGTTAAAACTTGAAAAATATTTAGTATTTTTTCTGAAAGAAATGAAAATATAACTCTGTAACATGAAATGTCATTGAATACTGAATGGATATGTGAGTGTGATTTACATAGAAAAATTTCCTAAGCAGAGGAAAGAGGTGAAACGTAAATAAACATGACAGCCTTCTAAATATCTTCCTTTTCAAACTTGTAGCAAATAAAGTACTGGAGCGAAAATCTTCTCTGTTTCAAATCTATTATGAAATCATAAAAAATATCTAAAAAGTTGTACAGAAAGCGATTTAAAAAAAAAAATTATGTAGTTTTTTTTTTTTTTTTTTTTTTTTTTTTTTTAATATTTTTTATTTTGAAAACATGATCAATATTTTCTAGATAATTATTCAAAAACTTTTTTTATATCTTGCATTTTCATTTGGTTGCTAAAACTAGCACTTTAGATAAGCATGTTAGGAGAATTTACACTGAGGCAAAGATGCCATTTTACTGCTCTGGATGCACGCTGGGACAAGTGGTATATCACCATGTCATGAATTACCTTAAAATTTTATCTTTTTTTTTTTTTTTTGTTTGTTTGTTTTGCATGAAGTAACATTGTATTAGGAGCTAATTATCTGTGTGTAAAGTTATTTTTTCAAAAAAAAAAAAAAAATTATTCACCGAATCTCAAAGGATTAAACAATATGATGTCAGATCATTCAAGTTATTTTAACTATTTGACTCAGCCATCAAAGTAATAGGATGAATTCACTATCTCTTCTATTCTGAGGAAACTAATAGTAGACCCGTGTTATCTCAAAGGCCAATTTACCATGACCTTGTTTACTAATAGAGCTGTTCTGAATTTCTTGGAAGATTGGGATGTTGTGTGTTTCTTCTGTGATGCCAAATGATGCATCACCATTTCATCTTCTGTAACAACACAGTGCATACATAAACTGCAGTGAGATAATTGAAAATTTTTTGTGATATCCATGTTCCTTAAAGAACATAGAATCGGTTGATTATATTGAAGACATTGGTAATCAGCAAGTTCATCATCATGACCTAAGTATGATTAATTGAATTTAAATGCAGTTTATGTGAATTCTGTAACTTTATCTTTTATTAGCATGTATCTGCAGTTAGGAACCTAAATCTCCCAAGTCAACTTAAGAATTCAAATTGCAGTGGCATAAAGTATGATGATTGGATACATAAGTTCTTCTCTGCCTTTAATATACCTAATTTCTTTTCTGATTGTACAGATTAATATAACCACCAATACCGATCTCTTCTCTAACCCAGTGTCCTTTCCATCAAATAGAACTCATTGATATAAAGAAGTGCAGGTTTTTTTTGGGGGGGGGTACCATCCAAGAATTTGTTGATTTGTTATCATCTGTGAACAGATTGCTATTCCTCAGCATCCAAATTTTAAACTTGTGTGTTGATTATTATCAGTGTCAGTTTTATGCAAGGTTCCCATATTATTTCAAGCCAATGAAAAGTGGTTTGTGTTAACGTAGGCCATTCTTTTCCTGTTGAGAATGCCCACTGCAGTTTCTGTGGTATTCAGTTCATAATTGAAATAGGTATTAGTGGCAAATAATGGAAGTAATTTTCACCTTGTTTTCTCATTGTAGCCTCTTTATTGTTTAAATTGATTACGTTATTTGTTTGTGAGATTTGGATAAATTTTCCTGTCTGCAGAAACTTGTTATCCAGTGTCCAACTTTAATACTGTTTTCCTAGCTACCAAATCTGATAAAACATGACTTGGCTGAACATTCCATGTAATGAAGGTTTTTCTCTTTAGTGCTATATGGAGGGGTAAACTGAAAAATAATTTCTCCTAGTTAGGATTACACACGGAAAACATGTCAGAAACGTATATTTACCATATACATTGAAACTTTATGTGGTAAAAATAAAACATTTAGTGCCTGTTATTATACTTACATTTAAAGATACTATATTTATATTTTTCTTTCTATACATAATACATTTTCTCCTGACTAGCACATTTGCAGCCATTAAAATGTCAAACCCATGAGATAAACAATTAGGTTTTCCAATGCTGTGCTAGATTTACAACCAAAATAAAGTTATTACTGTATTTTATAGTATTGAAAAAGTTTACAAATTTTGTACACAGTAGTTTCTTTGAGGGGGAGATATAAAGCAACATAAAAACCTAAAGAGGTGATGCTTTGGTGGAAAAGTAAGAGTACAGGGACAAGTCTATATAACTTTGAGTAAATGGCTATCTTGCTAAATAGGTGAGATATTGCAAAGCTTGCGATAGTTTTAGTGACTAATTTTTTTTGCCAAACTTGGTGACATTTTGGTCTAGACCCTTGTCACCTTTATGGGTAACGTAATTCAATAACTATAATTGATTCTGCATGTAAGCTGTAAACATATCCGGCTTTCATGTGCTTTCCAGTAATTTTGAGAAGTACTAGAGATTTCTAGGTGGCTAGGAGAAAACTGTATAAGAAGGGAGAGAGTATGTTTTTCAGCTGTCAGTTCAGAACTGAATTTGGAGTATTGAGATATCCATGAGAACTTTGCCTTTTAGATGTGCATTGCATATAACATTGTGTTTAACCTTCTTAGTAGTTTGAAATGTAACTACTTATTGTACTCTGTGATACTGAGAAGAGCTGTATGAGTATTTTTGTAGAAAGTTCCAGAACTTGTAAAATGTTTCTTTTGGTAAAATAATTTTTATCAAGTGATCATCGGTTCTGCATCCATTAAATCTTTTACAAACCTGTATGCATGCAACAATATTTTAAGAGATACATAAAAATAATTAATAAATATTCTTAACTTTTAGCATATAGAAGAAGCTTAGAGACAAAAAAACAGGCAAAGGAAAGCAAGAAAGCATCTAGTTTCAGGGAGGAGGAAGTAGCCGAGGATAATATGGAAGTTGAAATTGTAGAAAATGATTCACCAGATGTGATAACTTTAGACTCTGAATCTGAAAGTGAAGATGAGGTTGTAAATAATGACAGTGACAGCAGTAGTTCATAGTTGCTTATATTTAAAACATTATGGGGATGCACCTCATACTATGTAATTTTTACAGATGTTTACAAAGACATCTCTGAAATTTCTTTCACTTTTTCTAATAATATCAAAAAATGTTTTCCTTCTGAATAGTTATGTTATATACAACAAAATAACATTTTATCAATATGTACTGGATAAGTGATACTACTTGATGATTCTGGTTATATAGTATTTGTCTGGATCAGTATTTTTTTTTCTGTCATATAGAAAAAGCCAATTTTTCTTTACTGACATTTTTTCAATTTCTGCCAATACTGTTACATAAGCAAACATAAACAAAAATGATTATCATCTATACTTTTTTGGAATTTGATGTATTTCGTATGTTGAATATCTAAAAGTAATCAAAATATTTAAAGCTTTTGTTTATGAAACTAATTCTACAATTTAAGTTTTGAAATCGTGTATTGAATTTTAATCATTTCTGTTTAAGGTATATTTAACATGAAGCAATAATAAAAAGAGAAACATCTTTAAAAATCTTATTCTTAAATTGTATGTTTAAGGTATATGTAATATGAAGTGATGATAAAATGAGAAACAGCTTAAAAATCCTGTTCTTAAATTATATGTTTAATGTTTATTACTTATTTGCAATATATTAAGTATATTAAAAAAACTCTGAAGAATTAATCATTGAAAAATTTGTGTGATATTTATTTTCTGTTTAAATGGATTTCACTATTTAAAATTTTTGCTTAGATAAACGCTATAGATCAGGGATGGCCAAACTACAGCCTGTGGGCCAGCTACAGCTTGCCTAAAAAGCTTTATCCAACCAACTGCAAATTAATATATATATATATATATATATATAATACAGATATTTATGATATTACTATACAATATATAATATTATATATTAAATATTATTATGCAAATATATATAATAATATTAATGCTATTGTATAATAATATATACTGTATACAGCTCCTGCCAGACAGAGATATCACATGCAGAAAATGAATTCATGTAGAAGAGGTCTCTTATCTTGTCCGATTTCCCAAAGTTAAATTCAATAAGCTCAATAAATGAAGAAAAGCCTGAGTTATGAAGATTGCCTAAACCTGCATTTTAACACATATTTCAATGCTATTCAAAGAAATTTATATTCTCACAATGCCTTTCAACGTTAATTGTGAAGCAGTGAAGCTAGATTTGCAGCTTAAATTAATTGAGTAACAGTCTAACAATCATCTCAAACAGTTGTTTCTCAATGTTCCAAAATTAGAGTTTTACAAATCATTATCAAAAATAAGTTTTCCAAGTTTAATATTTTTAAGCCCCGAAAATTAGCACTGTTTGCTTCATCTTATATATGTGAACAAGTGTTTTCTACCATGAACCTTGGGAAGAATTCTATTAGAAATAAGATTGACAAATGACCATTTAGCACCTTTCTTAGAATTAATACATCACGGTTCAAACCTGACTGAAAGGAATTTTTAAAAATGCAGTTTTAATCATTGAATTAATATTTTTCTCTTTTTAAAATTTTAGAATAAATTATATTGCCCTTTGTGAAAGAAGTTTGCCTCTCACTGATATATATATGATTCATAATTTTTTGGAGCTTTAATAGTTTAAAAAACTATAAGAAGTACTGTAAATATGTGCATTATTTCAAAGTTTACCATTGTGTTATCATATAATTATAATAATGGGCCCTGTTTGTAATTGTAAATTTAGATGCTGGTTGGCAGGCATAACTCTAGTATGATACAAAAATGGAAGTAAGCTTACTGCATTTTAAAATTTGTTAAACATGCGTCAGTTGTGATGATATAATGGAAATTTTCTTCAAATTGTCCAATAGAACACCTGCAGACAAGACAGTTTGTGCAAGATACAAGTTCAAAGACTGTCTGCTGGTGAATGTGGAACAAACTGACTAGCCGAAACCATTTGCTAAGATCAAAGTCTGTAACATCACCAAGAGTTCTAGTGCAATGCAGAACAAACTGGTCAGCTAAAACCATCTACTGGGTTTATCTAGAGATGGGCGGATAAACTTCTACAGTGCTATCAGTACTTTTGGGAACAAAAAGGAAGGAATTAACAATATAATTTTAAAATGTTGGAATTACAGCCTACTTCCATATGTGTTTCCCCCAAAAGTGCTTATGTAAGAGAGAGGTGGCAAATTCAGGGACTGCCCTGTGCAGCAAAAGCTTTCGCTCTATTGGTCACACTGGCCAAGAGTGTATATATTGAGCAGCTACAAAATATGTACAAGAGATTATGCACTGCTATACTCTATACATTTAATAGTTATTTCAATAAAAAAATTTCTAACCTGTGAGGAAATTATGAACAAGCTTATATTTTTAAATATTTAACTGTTATAGTAAACATATTTCAGTTTTCCTAGAAATCTGTTCATAACCTGTTTGTCTTGTTCATTTGAAAAGATTATGTGTAACATATCATATTTTAAAATATTTGAATGATTAATATGCAAGTAAGTGTACCAAGAAAGTAATATTATATCTTGTATTCAAAAATTAATATGGAACTAGAAAATTATTTCTTTGAATACATTGCATAAGTTTTGGAATCTTTCGTATTCCTGTTAATTACAGGTGTATTATGCAAAAATGGTTTGGGGGAGAGGAGAAATCTGATATTTTACTAATTATAAAGTTGAGAGCTTTTCTTTAAATTTTTAAACAAAAATTTTAAAAAATGTGATATTTTCAATCCACTTATTTAAATATTTAAATCTGACATAAATCTTTATGTAATTCTGTTATCTTTATTATGTTACAGTATATCATTTACTTTAAGACTGAAGTAATTTACCATATACCTGGGCTGTTCTTTTGCACCGCTTTTTAAATTTAATCTCATTCATATTTATGTAATTCACCAGATTCAGTACTTGAATGTCTTACAACAAGATTTTGCTTCATGTCAAATCATTTTGATTTGTGCGAAGAATTAAATCAATTATGTAGTTAAGTTTCTATCATAATTGTTTTTGAGTACATTGATCTAGGTTATTTGATGAGGGTGTTATTCTTTTTATCTTTTCATAACAAGCATGCAAAAACAAATTTGTATTACATGTAGATATTTTGTGTAAATAAAATTTTTTACTGGAGATGTTATGCTCATTTACTTTATAATATACATTTACAAATAGTTCAATAATCATAAAAGCCACATTCTTTTTCTCTATTTCAACATATAGCTCTGTCACTGGTTACACTGTCTCGGTCTCTGTGATGATTTATAAAGGATGATGAACATGGCTGAGTTCATATATCTTGGATAAAGCATGGATGTTTGTAAATATATTATCTGTGTGTAATGAGGGAACATAAAAGGCTGTAATTATCTTCCATAGGAAATGTTTTAATCAGTTGTCTGTTAGCCAAGTTAATGTGTATAGCTTTTTTTAGTCCAAGGGACATTAGCCCAGAAGGGCTATTAATTTCATTTTGGCATTTTGCATTGGTTCATTATAAAAGTCCAAATCACTTTTCAAATTGTTGCCACCAAATATTAGAGCCCTGCATTATATTTAAACAAATTAAATAATGAAAAATCTGCATGAATGTTTCTCGCATTCTACAAAAACAATGGTACTTAGAGATGTAACATTTTGAATAACATAGTCCTCCACTTGAATATGAAAGCCCAAATTTGGAATTTGTTTTATTATCTACTAGCAGCTACGCAGCCAACTTTCGTCTGGCTTTTAAATGTACCAAAAAATGCATAAAGGTACACCAAACTTTAAATTTAAAAACTGCACAGAATTTTACTCTGTAGAACAACTTCATAAAAAGTGTGTTACGTATAACAAAATTACAATGACATAAGCAATATCCTTTAATACAAATATTAATTATCCTTATAAATAAATTAGCCAACTTTCTGTTGCAAAATCTTAAGAATTCAAATGGTATAAAGGAAGTTTTAAGAACTTTGTTTCCTAAAAAAATCATGCAAAACTATTTATATAATTAAAACAATATAAAAAAATTACAATGAAATAAGCAATAAATCTCATTTCAAAATATACAAACCTATTTGCCATTTAACTAATAAAGAGAGAGAGAGAGGGAAAAAAATTCTTTCTGTTGTGTCTCTCGAGACACATGCATGTCAGAATAAGAAGACTGTGATGTGCGTGTTGCATGTCCAAAAATCAAAAGAAAAAAAAGCATTTTATCTCATATTTTCAACAGTCAGCAGAAAGCATTGAATGAAAAACTGTTGCCAAAACCACATTTCTAAAAGAATGAAACTATTCAAAATGATGCGATAAAATCGAAAAGATAAAATAAAAAAAAAACTGATTTGAATTTTGAAAAAAATCGCTTCAAGGTGCACTGGCTCTTGTCCAGATGTACCTATATACCAAATTTCGTAGCCGTGGGTCTATTAGCTTATGTGCAGCACGAACGAAAAACACACAAACTCTTTCTTTTATTATATATAGAGATTTCATATTTTGTAAAAATTTAACCGCTTAACTGCCATGGAAAACGTAGAAGATCCACTCCCAAGTGCCGTTTTTTACACAGACGCGTGCAGTTATGCAATGTATTAAGGATAAAATAAATGCAAGTTTTACCATCTAAAAACTATTTACTTTCACAAAATAAAGGAAGAAAAAAATTAAAATACAAAATTTAAAATTTAGCATAAAAGTATAATAAAAATGAGTTTGTATAATAAGAAAAGGTTGATTACTTTATTTTTAAACTAGTAAAGTGCAATATCAGGTTTTACTTGTCATAATTAATGTTGGATGCCATAGGCAAGTTTTTCATATCAAGTCGTGCCTAACTTTGAGCATCTTTCAGGGAATAGTCGCAATTCTCTTCATCTGACATACCATATTCTGAGGTGTCCGATCCTGAAGATAATGGAAAGTAATCATCTATTTCACTGTCAAGACATATTTGTGAAAAAAAAGCACTTGCTTCAAGCAGTAAATGAAAGCGGAAGATACAGAATGAAAAATAAACATTTTACTCAAACAGAAACATGAGCAATAACAGCACAGTCATTACTTTCACTGTTTCCAAAGCATCCCCCTTTTTTTCTGAAATAGTATCTTTCTTCGCATATTCTGTCAAGGTCATTGTGGTGCATTCCAAAGCTTTGCAAATAATTTTACTAGTAGCAGCGCAAAGCAAATGGTAGTATTCAGAAAAGGGTATATATATAATGTTGTATGATCTTAAATGCATTTAGTGCGATGAGGCAGTTAACGCATCAGCTGAGTAAGGCATATATACCTGTGGCAATTAAGGGATTAATGAATTTTTATTAACAAACTCAATGATTTCAAAATGTTCCATTAACATTAACACTGCATGCATGTTCAAGCACAGATATTTTATGAGTGAGGTTTCTTTACATTTCTTACTGGTATTATGTTGGTAGAGTAGCAAGGCAAAGATTATTACAATGTCTTATGGTATTTTGCATCAAATGACTTTAAATGTCTGTATCACTTTTCAAATCCTATTTTGAATCCCCTGCGAAAAAGCCTGGGCGTAATATAAAATCTAAAAACTTTGATTTTGTCTCTCCCCCTTTATATAGTACAAGTACTTAAAGTTAAGCAAAACCTTGTGTTAGCGTAGATTTAATTGACTTAAGGACAAACAGGTACTGTTCCCTTTTTAAAAGTTCACACCAGTGATATTCGAACACTGGTAGAACAATGGGTTGGCTGCATGGGTATTTTCGTGTTTCTCGTCATGCGTAATGTGTAAACAAGTCAGTCTTCCTTAGAAAGTCCTTCACAAAGGCATATAAACCTCAAGGTTTTGCTATAATCACATAAACCAAACTGACCCTTTTTGTTGGAAGTAAAAAATTTAGCAGAATTTGGCACTTTTCTCTTGATAGTGGCAAGTGTGTTTATGGCTAATTCAATTTTCTCATTTAAAAAGATTAAATTAAATTACACTGTTTTCATTAAAAAAGGTTGACATGAAAAATAAAATTAATCTTTTTGGGATTGTAGTTTTAGTATAATTCTTGATTAAAAGTTAAAATTTTTGTAATTGAAAAATATATATCAAGTTTCATATTGTTGTACAATAACGCAGCACCTCATAACTGCTTCTACACGTATGTTTCTACACAAATAGGGTATCTTGGAGTATGCTAGATCCGCCTTTCAAATTCATATGAATCTATATGTATTGCAGATATACATTTATGAATTTAAGATACTTATAATTCACCGAATGTAACTTTTTGTGGCATTTATACATTTTATAATTCTTTAATGTACATATTCAAATGTTTGTTATCAGTTCAGTTTGCCTACAGTGCTGATCAAAATGTGAAACTGTACAACAACCAGCAGGTTTGGAAAAACTTAAAAATAAATTTTCATTTCAGAATATGGAAGTACCCAGAAGTTTGCATATGCTATTTCTTATAAGTATGCAGCCCACAAAAACTAGAATTTTGCAAAAAAACATGTTAAATATTTTATGAGGTACAATGTTTAAACACAATAACATATTATAAGATTAAAAAAAGGGGTCAATTTAAAAATGCTTATTTATTAAAATAGAGATTAAGAATGAAATTATGTACAGATAATGATTCTCAGGCACATAAATCCTGTATGCAAATTTCAAAAAAGCCTATAAAGATATGCAATCAAGTAATTATTACAAATAAAAGGCATTTAATGTAAAAGTTTTAACAATCGTAAAATTTTCTTATGTAGCAGTAAGAACAAATTTTGAAGTGATGGCTGTTCGACACATAGGACACAATTCTATACCACCAGAACATTTTAGGCAGCAACAAACATGACCACATGGCAGGAATACTGCAGAGCTCTGCAATGCAAATGTATTAAAAACAACAGAAGATCATATAAGTTGCAATAAATAGTCACAACAAATATAAAGAAATTTATAGCAGCAAAAATAATAGAACTGCGTTAGATAATGCAAATTTTAACTCTTATTTCAAGAGCTAGTGGATACTGACATTAAAAGCAACACTATGAAAAATACACCTCCTTTTGTGGCAGAAGGTACGTTTAATGTAATGAAATAATTACCTTATATTAAGCATATGCGTGTTAGTGTAAAACATGAAAACACTGGAAGGTTTTCATGCTGTACTTCGATATTTCAAAAGGATTCCACACCGACTTAAATTCATTTTGTTATTGAACTATTTAATTAGATAGTCTAAATTTTATGTTGGCTAATTTCATTTTGTAACTTTCTTACACTTTTATTGAGAAATTCTTGAGGACTTTATTTATCAAAGAGCTTTTAAATATGATAAAAATATAATTAAGAATCAAAGCTTATATGAATAAACTTACAAACATGATGTAAAACAAAATTAAATACAAAAATTATCTGATTAAACATTGGTTGAATTTTCATAAAAAGTTTTGCTGGTGTGCACAATTTAAGACAATTTAGATCAAACATAATTTACTAAGAAAAATTGCACTGAAAATCACCAGGAGTAAAGAAATGAAAATTTGGGTAGTTTAAGTTTCATTAATTTAAAAGATTCCATTTATTGTTTGGAAAGCTTTCCTAAAATAAATAAATAAAATAATAATAATAAACTAGAAGATTCTGTGATCTACCAAGAGAGTTGGCAGCTAAGCTTATGTTAAATGAAATTCCTTGTGCAAATAGTGTATAAAATATTTACGAAAGTATTTATGTTTCTTATGTGCAAGTGAAAACTATCCTTTCGTGATCAAATTTGTTTATTAGTATGTGAATGAAAAAATGGAATTTCTTTACAGGCAGGGTCATAAAATCAACCTTTTATAAATTTAGAATAAAAATGTTTTAACATCAATTTTACTTTTTTAAAACTAATTTTATCATTTCAAAATAAACCAGCAACAGTCACAAATACTTCAGAGAACTATCTCTATTCTTGAAACCACATTTATAGGTCTTTTTCATACATACTTCTTCACACAACATTAAATTATAAGGGTTTGAAAAATGCCACATTATTTAGCAATTATTCTTCAGTTCCTGAAACACTATTTTTGGCTTTTTTCAAAGAGATGTCTTAATATTTCAGGTTAAATATTCTATACAGGTAAAATGGATATAAGTAGAACTTGCAAAGAAAGTGAAATAACAATCTCTATTTTTATTTATTTATTTTAAAAGTTCTGAAATGTTTAAGAAACTACCTGTATACTACAAAAAGTGGGCAGTAACTTTACAGCACTTGCTTCATGTTAGTTAGCACACATAGAAAATTACAGTATGTTTAACTAATATTGTTCTTAGTAAATAATATCTGAAGAATGATTAATAAAATTCATATAATCTAATATATTACCTCTACATCCAAACAGATTACACATTCAGTTTGACACCACAGCTTTGCTTCTGTGTCTGGAGATAAAAGAGGAGCAGATGGTTGTACCTCAGTTGGTGACTCATCAGGTGGTGCAGAGGGTTTGGGCATATCAGGGGTTTTTGAACCATCACCTCCTACATTTTTGAAATTTTCTAGTGCTTTAGCCAAAATTTCATCACACATATCTTCATCCAGGACACCAATCTTAAAAGAGATCATATTTAAATATGCACTTTTCTAATCATGCAAAATATAAAATTAGGGTAATAATTGCAATGTATGTAGCATGGTATCCAAGTACTTAAAAACTGCTAATACACAACAGGTTGCAAGTTTGGAAAGTATGTAATAGATTAATAAGTTATTAACTTTTGTCATGGATCATTTTTTTTGCTCAATTGAATGAAGAGTAGATGCCGGCTTGTTATGCCGTGGCCCCAAATTTTCGCCTCCCCCCCCTCTAGAGTACAAAATGAAGATCGTTGGAATGGAATACAATTTATGTAAATTTCTACGGTTTTCCAAAGAATAATTTTTCAGCAAATTTGTCTTAAAAATATTTGTTTTCAATTATAAAACTTCAAAACTCAATGTCTTAATATAAAATAGAGATAATTTTTAACGAAATCGTTTTAAAAATATAAAGAAAAATTAGTAAAATTGTGGGAACTAAATCAAACGGGTTTTTAAAAAAAAAACTTACTTTATAGTAGTGAAAAAAAGAACATGGGAGCTTTAAAACACTTCTCAAATTGTTTTTAGGATAAAAGTTAAAATTGCACTCTCCGAGATTTTGTTTCCGAATTTTTTTTTAATACACTATTAAGGTCTATGGTATCGCACAATTCGTGTTCAATAGAAAGAGTTGCCAAAGCCGATAATCTTTCCTGACTCATGGATGATCTAAGATAGTTTTTTATCAACTTGAGCTTGGAGAATGAACGTTCTCCAGTTGCAACAGTGACCGGTAAGATCAAGAAAATTCTAATTAGTACGGTTAAATTGGGAAAAAATGACGATAAATTATTTTCTAGTATGTATTCAAGAATTCCAATTGTATTCATATTAGTTTTAAGATGGGGTTGCATAGCTTTAATTTCTTCGAATAATTCCGCCCCGTTAATGTCGCTATGATTTAGCTTCTTGTCTGTCAAGGCTAGTTCCGCTTCGGCACAGTGGTCTGTTCCGCTTCGACACAGTTCATTGTCTTTAAGGTCGCCATATTCGGGTATATTATATAAAATTTTAAAGATGTTAATATGTTGGTATAATAATTGAAATCTCTCATTTATAGCCCCAATTGTTGCATCCAAAATTTTAAAGTAAAAGTTGACTTTAAAAGAACTCTCTGGATCTAAAATGCTTTCATTCTCGTGTTCGTAATCAAAATTTCTTTTTCTTCTTCCAATGCGTTTTGCTGCTGGATGAAGAAATTCTGCTTCTAGTTCAACTTCGGCAGCAATTTGTTTTGCAGCATCCATAAATATTTTGAAATGTTCGTCACATCTTATTTCAACAAAGTAGTCTTTTAAATTTTCTAGGGCTTCGGCTGAAGATTTAATGTTTAATTTTGGACTTTGTAAAAGTTTACTCACTACGTTGACTTTATTAAGAATTGCATGCCAGATTATTGTTGAAAATATAAATTTAAAGGTACTGATTTTTTTACCCAGTGACTTTGCCAAAGTTCTCCTAGTTATATCCCTAGTTGCATCATCTTTTAATTCTTGCTCACGAGCATCATATATTTCACCTAATTGTGTTTTAAGTGGTGTGATTGCTTCTATACATAGGGTTCCATTCTTAGTATCTGATAATGGCTTTTCAATGTAAGTTTTGGAATATACGCTAATAAAATACTCCATCTATAATTTGATACTGAGAAGTAAACGTACAGTTCCTGAATTAAGTTTTAAAAATCAACTGTTTTGAAGCTTATTTTAGCAGATTTGTTCACAACAAGATTTAAACTAAGAGCTATACAAGGAATAAAAAATGCACGGGACAAGCATCCAAAATTTTTTTCTGTAGTCCTATGTGTTTTCCTCGCATATTAGCCCCATTGTCATAACCTTGTCCACGTAAATTATTCATATCCAGTTTTAGCTCTTGAAGTTTTTTTACTATAAACTCATATAATCCTTGACCAGTTGTATCTGTAATTGGGCAGAATCCCAAGAAATGTTCATAAATCTTAACTGGTGGGGCGCAAGGAACACATCGAATTATAACAGTTATTTGTTCAGTATGTGAAATATCTGGGGTACAATCTAAAATTATAGAAAAATATTTTGCCTCTCGTATTCTGTCTAATATTTGTTCTTGTATAGTTGTTGCCAATAACTTAATCATTTCGTTTTGGTGTTCCCAACCTAGATAGTGAGGCGCATTTTTGTAATTTTAATTTTTGGATTGTATTCTACGTAAATGTTCGGAAAGAACTGCGTCAAATTTGGAAATCATTTGAGTCAATTGAAGGAAATTTCCATTATCTGGCTGAAACAGTTGAAACAGTTTTGTGGAACCCCTAAAGGCCAAGCACTGACGAGATAAATATCTGACAATAAGCATCAATCTTTCAATAACGGCACGCCAATGATTTTTTCCAGTTCGTATAATCGCTGATTGGACGAGTCGATTGTCGTACCCTTTTTCGGTGCTACACTCAAATCATGCATTTGTTTAGTATATTTAATGTGGATTAATCTGCTCTCATGCCTTTTCAAGATTAAAGATAACTGTTGCCAATCGTTCACTCCTTCTTTACCATATATACGCTCCTTTTTCTCTGTGACATCGGTGCAAAATAGTTTACATGGAGCACAGAAAACACTATTTAAAGATAAAGAATATAATAACCAAGGACGGTGGATTTTTTCACCATTGCTTAAAGTACGGTAAAAATATGACTCTGAAAATTTTTTATTTTGCTCATCTCTGGGAAATGCTATGTTTTGAACTTGACTTGGGAAATTTTCAATTATATATTGTACCTGACTGTAGGTTAGGTTTATAGGCCATTTACCAGGATCGTCAGAAACTAGGCAAAGAGCGTCGTCTTTTTCTAAAGATTTAAAAGTAGTTAAAGCATCCATGTCCTTACCTGTTTCAGTTGTCAGCTCTACGTTTTTCCTTCTCCCATTCTTCCCTTTTCTCTTTTTCGTGATTATCAACATCATGATTTTTTTCAGTAAATGAAATGTCTTTCCCTGCTTCCCAGCACACTACAGATTCATCTCTTAGGCACCCGGTACCCACAGAAGTTGATGCACTAAAATTTACAATATTTACATTGTCATTATTACTTACATTTCTTGAAATTTCTGTTGTTGAATTGTCACTTATAATATCACTATTATCACTTCCAGTTTTCAAATATTTTTCTAAGGCACCGCTTTGTTGTTGCTGTTCTTCAAGCCTAGCTTTCCTCTTTTGTTTATATTTGATAACCTGACAGTCTTTTAGTTTTTCTGGCAGACATTTTTAAGGGTCGAAAATGAAAACCTAAATAGTAGTATACAAAACTGCACTGAATCTACGCACGTTTTTGGTAAAAAGTATGTAAGTGTCAATGTAACAAAACGGTAACACTTTTTAAAGTACAAAGTACAAAAAGTCAGTATATTCATTAAAATATAACATCTTCACATCGCACACGCAAAATCGGCAAAACTATGCGATCGCACGGGGTTGTTTAAACTAAAAAATTAAAATTTGTTACCTCACACTTGCAGTGGTCTTTCGCATTAGGTAAGAAAATTAAGGCGCAGCTAAATATATCTGCGCATGCGCTTGTGATGTCTCCTTTTCGTATGCCGAGTCTCTAGGAGGGGGGCAAGAATGCTGTCCTCGTAAAAGGGGGAAGGCATCTGTTTGCCACAGCAATTATTAAGCAACAATTGGTTATTTTCGCAAACTAATAACCCCAATTATTAGTTTGGTCCACTGTAATATTTTTCAATCATCAATTCTTTGCTGCATCGGCCAATATTCCATAACCCAATAAAGAACAAAATTTGACGACTTAAGTGTTTATTTGCTTATGTTATAATACTGTAATACAATACAAATTTGTGAAGAAATACGTTTGGCTTATTTTCATTATTAAAGCTTGATGAGTTTTGGAAGATTTATTTTCAATAAAACTCGGTGAGTATGATTTTTTGCTTAAAAATCGGCGGTCCGGCCCTCTCAATCGCGGCGTGTTTTGAACACCCACATGGTAGCGCGGCCCTGACCGATTCGTATACCTTCTGTTAATTGAAAAAGCTTTAGGTATATTATCTGATAATCTGCATCTGTGTCCCAATATCCGTGCAGCATACTAAAATTCATGGAGTATGGATCAGGTCTTCCTGAGTTAATTTACATTTCTCCACTTGTAATTTATACATTAAAATTCCATTGTTTGTACATAGATAACTACCAGACCATACCCAAAAGAATTATTTTATCCTGTTTCACAGAATACAAAACTGTCTTATGTTTAGTACAATTATATGCAAAGAAAACAATGTTCAATTTGAAGAATATATTTTGTGGAATTTTTTCATTCCTTTCTTGCAAACTTGCATCAAAATATAAAAGAATTGATACATACACCAGCAAAATTACTTTCACAGAAATTTTTATGCTCTTATACCAAAACGGGGAAGGAAGGATAAATGAATTGTTTGTAAAAAGTTTAAAGTGAAGTTATAAGGTACGTTCTCCCTCCTTTTGCATGCCTTCATAGTGTAACAGTAGCACACTCGGCACATATTTGAGAGGTCAAGGTTCAAGTCCTGGTGAAGGCACTGCTCGCTTGAAAATAACCTATGTCTCTACAGTGGCAACCCAAACTAAAAAGTGGTGGATGATGATTCTTCACCACCAGGATTTGGTTATTGGGTTACCTAATCCTGTCATCCTTTAAAAAGGGGAGTATATAAAGTATTTTCCCCTCCTTTCTGCATACCTTCATGGTGTAATGGTAGTGTTGGAAAATATAACTTATTGTAAACCTTTTACTGCATCATCTCTCCTCCTTGAAATGTTTATTTAGTTTAGTCTTATTTTAATGTAATATAGTAGTTACTTCTACTTTTTCTTATTGCCACTGTTCGCGATGAGAACGGACTGTTTGAACCTAATTGAGATGCAAAAACGAAATGTGATGTTACGTCATCTGAAAAGCCGATTCGTGCCGCTAGCTGATTGGTTGCCGTGAGATGACGTCATGCATACTTCTAGGTATAAGTATCTGGCGTCGCTCTGGCTCAGCCCTTCTAGTCTTCTTCTAGTTCCTGCTTTCCTGGCACTTGAGTGAGCAGTTTCCAGCACCTTCAGAAGGATGCATGCAGTCCAGTGAATAAAGTGCCTTGGTTCCGGTTTGCGGGATGGCTGTTCTTGAATAAAGTTCCTTGGTGCCTGTCCGCGGGATGATTGTTTCGGAATGAGTTCCTTGGTTCACATCCATAAGATGATTGTTCCAGAATAAATTTCCTTGGTTCTAGAGGCTACCATATGAGTGACTGCTGCGGGCAGCATCCATGTTCTTCAATGAAGGCGGCAATTAAAACACGTGAGTGGCGATTCCTCGTGCAAACGGAGTTAGGCCGGTTTTAAGTGCTTTTAAGAACTTGATTTAAATTTCAGGTGTTTTCTCAACCATTGATCATGGACGTTTTGAATGTGTAGCCAACTTCATTTTTAAACCGCATAATTAATGTTTAGGACATTTTTGTTTGTATTCAATGCCAGTGTTTTGGAGACCAGGTAAAAATATTATTTGATGAATGATGGTTATATTATATTTTTCCTAAGACTCTGGTATTGTTGAAATTTATTTTCTGTGTTTTTATTCTTTATTATATTGTTAATAAATTGGTTAAGTTCAAAATCTCTTATTGTCTTCAATGTCTGCACAACATGATATCTCAGGGAGCTTTTATTGCTACTACTGCTAAATGTTTAATTTCTTTAAACTTTAAACTTTGCTTTAGCATCAGGTGGAACACTTAGCACATATTCAAGAGGACCAGGTTTGAGTCCTAGTGAAGACACAGCTTCTGGTTCTATTCAATAAAATATTGAGGTCAGTGTTGCAAATATGACTCTTTGTAACCCCTTTTCTGCATCATCTCTCCTTGAAATAATTCTAACTTTTACATAAGGTTTAGTTTTTATTTTAAAGGCATATAGCAATTACTTCTACTTCGTTTTCACTGCCACTGTTTGTATGTAGCGTATTCGGAAACTAAGTACCGTTTCATTCTAACGCCGTCGCACCGCTGTGGTAGGCGTCCCGCGCATGCGCACTAGTCTTTCTTGTTCACTGACTTTCAATTGTTGCCATTTTGGTTGCTCTATGTTGTGTTTTCAGTTTGCTGTGCACATTCAAAAATTCAATTAGTTCTCCTGCTGACTGTGAGATTTATGCCGTGATTAAATTTTTGAATGGGAGGAATGTTAAACTGGCCGAAATTTATCATCAAGTGACAGAAGTTTATGGTGAATACAAGTAGTGGAATGGTGAGAAAGTGGGTAAGAATGTTTAATGCAGGTCGAACAAATGTCCACGCTGAGGCTCGGAGTGGTCGGCCTTCTGTTGTCACCGATGATTTGGTAAGGAAAGTTGATGAAGCAATTCATGAGAACAGACGCTTCACAATGACAACTCTTTCAGAGGTATTTCCACAAATTTCACGTACTGTTTGTTCGAAATTGTGTCTGACCGCTTGAATTATCGCAAACTGTGTTTCCGATGGGTTCCAAAAATGCTCACTGATGTTCACGAAACAAAGCGACTTGGTAGTGCCCTGACATTTCTCACACGGTACAGTGATGAGGGAGAAAACTTTTTAAACCAAATTGTGACAGGTAATGAAACTTGGGTCTGTCATTTCACACCAGAATCGAAACAACAATCGATGGAGTGAAGACACACTCATTCTCCAAAAAAAACAAAAGTTCAAAGTGACAATGTCATCACAAAAAATCACGTGCACTGTCTTCTGGGATAGGAAAGGCGTTTCGCTTACTGAATTTCTTCCCAGAGGTGAAACCATTAATGCGGCACGATATTGTGAGACTTTAACAAAACTAAGGCGTGCCATTCAAAACAAATGAAGAGGAATGCTCAGTAAAGGAATTGTGTTGCTCCATGACAAAGCTCGACCCCATACTGCTGGTGTTACTCAATCGTTCATTCGAGATTTTCATTGGGAGCAGTTCGATCACCCGCCTTACAGCCCGGACTTGGCGCCGTCCGACTATCACTTGTTCCTGCACATGAAGCGCGAACTTGGTGGCAAGCGCTTTGGATCTGACGATGACACGAAAAATGTTGTGGAGTTGTGGTTATCGAAACTGGCGGGAAATTTCTTTGACGATGGTATACAAAAACTGGTCACCCGCTATGACAAGTGTTTGATCATTGGCGGAAACTATGTTGAAAAATAGTTTAAGACATGTATTTTAAAGTAAAAATAAAATTGGATTCGAAAAAATTGCTTTACTATTTTTTTTTTTCAAAACGGTACTTAGTTTCTGAATACGCCTCGTATTTAGAATGGACTGTTCCAGCCTAATTAAGATGCAAAAACGAAACTCAAAGCTACGTCATCTGGAAAGCAGAGTCGTGCCGACAGCTGATTGGTTGTCATGAGATGACGTCATGTCTACTTCATGTATAAATATCTGTCATTGCTTTGGCTTAACCCTTGTTGTTTCTGTTTTCATCGCTCCTTGTGTGCTGTTCTAGCTTCCATTCAGAGACATTTTTGTGATGAGTGTCATCCAGCGTTAAGTGCCTCTTTAGTGATGTGGTTCTGGGCCAGTTTGGGTTTTACCATGGTTAAGCGGTGATAAATCTAGGTTGTGGTTCCTGGTGAGCAACTGCCGTGGGCAGCAACCTGTTCCAAGGTTAAGCGGCGATAAATCTCAAGTTGTGTTTTCCGGTGAATAACTGCTGTAGGCGGCATCATTAACACAAGTGTGTTTAAGTTCTAGCAGCCATGTTTTTCCAAGCTGTAATTTCCTGTGAGCAACTGCAGTGAGCAGTATTTACAAATTCAAGTACATTCAAGGTTTAATTTTTCAGGTGCCTTCTTGGCCAAAAGCATAGACCTATTTAGTCAAGTGAATTTCAAATTAACCGTGTAGTTTTTGTTCTGTGATATGTTTTTCGTAAGTTATTGAATGCCAGTATTCATAGAACAGGTAATATATTTATTGTATCATTAATAGTGTAATATTTTTTAAAGGAAAAACCCTTGGGGTTTAATGAATAATTAACTAAGTGTAATTTTTGACAATGATTATGTTACACTCTTATTTCTGGTATTAATCAAATTTATTTATTGTATTTTTATTTATATATATATATTGTTAATAAATTGGTTAAGTTTAAAACTTTTGTCATCTATGTCTGCACAGTACATAATCTTAGCATGTTTCTATTGTAATAATTATTTCTGCTAAATGTTTTCTATTACTTTAAACTTTGCTTTTGCATCAGCCAGAACTTCCAATAACATAGTTACTGCTTCTAAGACAGATTTATAATAACAACAGTTATAATCTTGATAATTATGTAACTATGCTACATATCTCATATACATGCATTTTTTAACAATAAAATAATAAAGGAAATATTAATCGATCTATCAATCAAAACAAATACGAAGAAAATGATTTGAATGTAAAATATATTACTGCTTTCAAGTCTTTCACAGTATAATTGACTAATTGTGAAAATGTAACTCCCTTCACTGCAAACAGAGGTAAGTAGCTATGCGCTGAAGCTTCCATCAAAACATATTTTACTTCAGAGTCCATTTCAAGCTCCTAAAATGAAATATTTTTACTGTTAATTGCACACTTTTTATCTACTAGTAAACATAATTCATTCAAAAATTGATTTCTTAAAATTTTCTTTATGAGGTAACTTCATAATTTGTAGCTGCCATGTTAACTATATATATTAAAATATACTGCAAGCTGAGTAATTAAGCAATGCAAATTCTGACACTTTGCAGCAGTTTTTTGGGAGGATATACATATTATTAAACTTAAATAATTAGTGCGAAAAACAATAAACATGTACAAATTTTCCCCTAAAAAATCTACAACTAAAACTGCAGTGATATTCAAGGAAGCTTAGAGATAGTTGCAAGAATTCATTTTACTTAATGCAATGGCTATCTTCCAAACAAAGGTTGCTTTTAAAAAAGATTTTTAAGAGAAATTCACTCATATTTAAGTAACACAAATCGCATGAAGCCGACCCATTACCATGGAGAATGAGATGAGTTACCGGTTTTAGCTGTTTGACCACTGATGGAATCTATAGCCATAATACAATATGAGCTTGATTCATTTAACATTTCAAAGGTGTTAAGCCAATAGATGTAAAAGCATTATCTGATGACACCTTTCAAGAACACTTACAAAAGCATTTGTGAAATTTTGAAGGTTGTACATCCATCAATTCATCAAAGCTGCACTAGTCTGCCATTTCCAGTTTAGTTTTATTGATTTTTAAAAGTTTTAATTGACATTATAAAAATTTCGAAGGAATTCTTGGTAACCATGAAGATTTTAAGGAAATTTCCAGAATACCAGAAGGCTGCAATATGTGTATTAAGTCATAAGCATCTGAAGGAAAGTATTTTATATTATAGATTTTTAAACAATTATGGAAGAATTTGGGTACTACATTCAGCATTCTCATTTTAAATAAAAGTTAATTTCTGCATTGAGTGAAACTGTTCTTCAAAAATGTTTAAAAGAATTGCATATTTTTTTTTAATGCATCAGAAAACAGTCAAACAATGTTAACACAAAAATGCTTATGCACAAAAGCAAATTTGGGATCAACAATAAATTAGTAAAATTCATTCTATAAATATGAATGTCCCCAACCACTATTAACATTATATTTTATATAACAGTTGAATAAAAGTAATTTTCTAAACACTTTTTAATTTGTAAAGTATTAGAAATTTATTAAAAAAGAACCCTCAGGTTATAAGACACCATATAACAAACACTCATCTCTTAAATATAATATATATATATTATATATATATGCAGCAGGCTTAATTAACCAGTTTTCATGTGATCTGACTTTAAGTTAATAAACAAAAGGTTGGTTATTTTCAAATTGTATACAAAATAACATTTATAGCTCATGAATCAGATTTATACTATATACACGTTATATCTGCATAACAAAAAATTAAAATATGTGAACAAATACACTCTAATAAGATCAGTGAATGATGCACATGTGGAGTCATATGCAAACAACGAACTCTGGAAAAGATACACCATAATGTTTGAACACATTTGACTATGGCAAAAGAATAATCATTATGGATTTCAGCTAATAACATTCTGCAAGAAAAGGTGTAGCAGTGGCTGTAAAATAATGAATGAATTTAAAGTTCTGTTTAAAGCTTAGCATATTTGTAAAATAAAATCATGACATGCATGCTGAAAAAAGTTCATGAAGATGAAGTGGTATCTTTAAAATGCATTATGTTTATAAACAGTTTAATGTTTTCAGGAAGGAAAAAATTCTATTGAATATCATGCTTGAAGTGATAAGTCAATGAATAAATATAAGACATAAACTAAGAAATTTAGAACTAATTTTTTAAAAAGACCTAAAATTGAAATTCATAATTAATAAATTTCAAATAATCTTATAAATGCAGTAAAGAATTAAAAAATATTAAAACTATTGAAACAGGCAATACCCCAATTAAAAAAATTGACATTTAAAGAAATGACATTTAAAGAAAAACAAACACAATAGAAGAGAAATTCAATCAACTTTAATGTCACTTCGTCAGGAGAAGGAACACTGAAAACGATTGAAATTTCGGTGCTACTTTGGTAGACAGTTGCACGGATTTTGGCGAGCGATACGACTTATGGTAAACCCATTGCTAGACAAGTTATTTATGGTAGCTGATACTTTGTTGTCATTTCATTTTTTTAAAAATGTGTTTTATTATGCATAAATTCCGTGTGTTAAACATTATTTATGGCTTCTAAATATTAAAAATCAATTTAGTTTTGCATTTTTACTTGAAATTAAAATTTTATTGTTTATGTAATTTTATGTTGTGGACAATGCAATAAATGATGTCACATTACTTAACATCATTTATTATAAATCTATAAATTTAATCTAATGTTTTAAACATAATTTATGGCTGTTAAATATTAAAATACAATTTAATTTTGCATATTTTTAAAAAGGATTTTTATTTACATAATTTCGAATTCCTTAGATTACATTTTTCAAATTTTTTTCGTTGATATATAAATTATGATTCCGATTTTTTGGTGGTACTTATCAATATACGACAGGTTAAATACCAAAAAAGTGTAGGTACACATTTTTCTTTTACTTTATAATTGTATACTTAATTTTTATTAAAAAAATTAATACACTGTTTTTCAAAAATTGCCGAGATATTATTGCCACATATGTTTTAATGTTAAATAATTATATCTTATAAAACTTATTTTAAAGAATTTAAATTTAAGTAATATTTTACTTCTTTTACACGTTGGTATGATGTTTTTAATTCGTTCAATTTAAGTAATACAGTACAAAGTCTGTAATCTGCATGTCCATTATCCGGAAGATCTATAATCCGGACCTCAAAGCCATAAACTTTTTTTTTGTATGCTTTACGCATGCGCATTTAACCCATTAATGAGCCTGCCCCTTGGAACGAAATGCTTTGAAAATGGGCGTGTTGTCAGTCAACAAACACCTCCAAAAAAAAAAAAAAAAAAAAAAAAAATCGCTTTCATTTTCTGAAATCTCTCTAAGATGGCCCAGCCTAGGGCAGTATGTTTGCTTCCTCTTAGTGTGATGGATAAGCCATAAAATTGCCTCCCTGCTATTGAATGGCAAGAAGTACTTGTTGCATTTAGTTTCGTCTCCCTCCTCTTTTTTGTACATGTAGCCTGTAGACTTGTTTCTTTTAATATGTGACTTCCAAATTTTCCGAAATCTTTTTAGAATTTTAGCTTCCAAGCTTGTAAATTTTCAATTATTCGACATGTTTTATTGGGCAGTATTTTAAGAAAGATCATTATTTATTTTGTTACACAATTTTTTTACTCTTTACTTACCTATTTTATTTAGTTTTAGTAGGCCAATTTATTTTGGGAAATTAAATTTTAATCCACTCTTTTACCAACTCAGTTTTCATCAAATTATAAGTCCACATATATTTACGATGAGAGTACAATATTTATCAGGAATTTTTGGAAAATTTGGCATACGTATTTATATTTTAGTGTTGAATTTTTTCCACAAGTTGTTCGTTAGCAGTTGAGCTCATCCTCGTAAATGCTTGATCTTTTCAGCATGGAATTGGCAAGCAATAATCTTCCTAATGTTTTCTGGGATTTTATAGCTCTAGAATTTTGGTGGTTTTCTTCAAATATTTTAGTAAGTTTAACTATTATACAGTTGCTACTAATGCGGAATTTAAAACCAAAAATGTATTCCTTCATTGATTTGAGAGATCGCATTTCGAATTTAAATGAAAGTTTAAATGAATTTGATAAAATCTTACCACAGACTAAAATGAATTATTTCTCTGTGTTGGATGGATTTTTCTCACTTTTCCACATTTTATACATTATGCATAAAGCAGACACGCACAAAAATCCCTTTTGATTCTTATGGTGTCAGTTAAATGAATTGTAATATATATATATTTTAACTTTCAAAATGTATTTGCTCGTTTATACATAAATTTAAAATCATGGGAGTTCCACTTACAAATTATATGACTAAATTGCAGAAATTTCTATTTTCATTTAAAATTTGTCATTATTAGCACCTCCAGCAGTTTTATGCAATCATAGGATTTTCCGAATTCTATTAGGTCTTTAACATAATTTCAAGGCCTAATAGAAAAGTGATAATATGGAAAGACTATGTCTTAAGTACCAATAGCCAAGTATTTGTAATTAAATAAGAACAAATATTGAATACCAGCTGCTTTTTTATTTCTTTTTAGTCATATAGCAAAAGATAAACAAGAATACTATTATTACATTTAAGAATTATTTAGTAAATTATTTTGCTAATGTTATATGAATGAGGAAACATGGTAAAAATGTCTTAATGATTAAATTCACCATTAAAAATCAAACGAACCCCAAAATTCCTTTTCCCCAAAACTGCGTAAAATGTTTTGATTAAATATGATTTGAATGAGTTTTCCAATTCTGTTTTGAGTGATATAAATTAGGACATAAATATTATTAAATTAGGATATAAATTATTATTAGTAATAATTTTATATTATAACTTAGCAGAATATCATTTACCGTTAAAAAATTATATCTAAAAGAATTAAATTTTGTAAAAGAATAAAAAATATAATAAGCTGTTCCATTTTGTCCTCTATGCATCTATTTATATAAAAATGGAATCTGGCTAGGGAATTTATGACTTGTATATGAAGTAAATATAATAAAAATTGGTATCTTGAGAAAACTTGTCAGAGCATAAAAAACATATATTCTGTGATATTAGTGTATTAATCATACTTCTGTATACGTAAATGCAATTTATAATTACCAGCATAAGTATCATAATGGATTTTATTAAAAACGACGAAAACTGAATGCATGATGCTAGCATTATCAAACTACAGCTCTTTATCCCGTCAAGTATTGCTTGGGTCGTAACCAACACGAGTTTTATTTTTGAAATATTATTCCAAATAAAACAGGAAGCGTTAAACGATATGCAATTTAAACAATTTTATTTTTTTATAAGCATAGAAATGTTAAGTACCTTT